AGATTCAGAACCCAGGGCACAAAAGGTGGGCAACTTTGCCCAGTGTCACATGGCTAAGTCCGGTCTGCAGACGAGTGTGGGGTCCTTCCCAAACACCTGGAGGGCGCCCGTGGTGCTGCAGCTCTAATACAGTGAGGACCCCAGGGGCTGCTCGAAACTGCAGCCATCAAGACAGAGTTTGACATGCAGAGCTCCAGAGACAGTGAGGGTGGGAGATGGACTGTGGGGTGGTGTGGAGGCAAGGAGCGGGTGAGAAGATCTTTTCTGGCTTTTCACAGAAGGGATTCCCACAGTCTTCACTGGAATGTGCTTATGAAGGGTTTTACCTTTGATGGTGGAGCAGGTTGGTTCTGTGTGTGAGAGAGAGACACTAGGGGTGGCTTCAAAGGAGGTGGCTATTGGATCCATTCCTACTCCAACTAATCAGGACCAGGTCAACCTTCTTGTGAATTCTCCCAGCTGACCCCTGCGAGCAAGTTGGGTATGATTTGGTGGCTGTTCTGATGAAGAACCTGGGGCTCCAAGACAGTGAGAGACTCCAGAGGAACTCCACAGCCTGCAGCCTGGAGCCAGGTTTAGAGCTACTCATGTCTGCTCAGGATTCTGTCTATCTGAGCTGGCGTCTCTCCTTTCCTCTACCCTCCTTACTGCCCCCATTTTCCCCCTCTTTGGTCCTGAGGGAAGGGAAGCCCAGGGACCTGAGAGGATCCCAAGCTCTGGAAGAAGAGGGCAGATCCCAAGCTCAGCCTCCGACTCTTCCTCCTTGGGTGATGGCATCCCCTGGGGTCAGTCAGGAAAGGCTGTTCTGCTGGCTCCTCTCTTAGTCAAGCCCCAGCTGATGCGCCTGGCTCCCCACTGCCCTGGCCCTCTGAGATCCCCACAACTCCTCCTTCCCTTACCATCCCTCTCCCAGCTGCCTTCTCACCCTTCAGTGTTGGCACCATGGATACGGCTGGGCTGACTGAGCACGTCTGGAGAGTGGGCAGGGGGCTGCCAAGGGAAAAATCGGGACCTTCTCCTTGTGCTTCTCCTTGATTAGACCAGCTTTAAGGAATGAAATCCTGTCATTACTATGTGCTAAGTTTCACCAAGGACAAAATGTTGTGGAAGTACATGGGAAATTTTAAATTAACAGCCAGAATTCACCTAATGCTTTCTTGGTGCCATGAAGAGATACACATTACCTGACCTGATCTGCACAATAGCTGTATGAGGCAGGAACTGTTATTCCCATTTTAAAGGATGGAGAAATTTGGCTGGGTGCAGTGGCTTATGCCTGTTATCCCAGCACTTTGGGAGGCTGACGTGAGAGGATAGCTTGAGCCCAGGAGTTCGAGACCAGCCTAGGCAACATGGTGAAACCCTGTCTCCACAAAAAATACAAAAAAAGTTAGCTGGGCATGCTGGCCTGTGCCTATAGTCCCAGCTGCTTGGGAGTCTGAGGTGGGAGGATTGCTTGAACCTGGGAGGCGGAGGTTGCAGTGAGCGGAGATCGCGCCACTGCACTCCAGCATGGACAACAAAGCGAGACTCTGTCTCAAAAAAAAAAATAAATAAAAATCAAAAAAGAATGGAGAAATTGAAAAACAGAATGTAAATAACTTGCCCAGGTCACACAGCTAACATGGCAGAGCTGAGATTTGAACTCTGTTCTATTGTCTCCAGAACCCAAGTTCTTAACCAATACAGATCATTATTTTGCATATGGGTGCAGTTTCAGCACTTGCTTACTTACATAGGGCCTCTGTTTTATGGGCAGCTTGAATTCATGCATACCCACACATTCATTCTCACTGGCAAACTGTGCAAAATGTCAGCATTATTTCTTCTGGATTTTTCCACACTGGAAGAGATTGAATGGGGTCATTTCATTCCTCCCACTGCCGCCGACCTGGGCTGTGTTTAGCCTTCTGGAAGGAAGCCTGTTAGTTTGGACTCCTTGCCTCTGGGTGAAATGAAACCTTGGGAAGCAGCCCTGGCCCTTTCTCCCTGTGTAGTGAATTACTGTCTGAAGGTAGCAAGCAGCCTGGAGGGGTGATCTGGTCAGGGGCATTCAATATATGTCTTACGGGTATGTAGCAAGTGCAAGGTGCTAGCGAGCTTCTGGGGTGACACACTGATGTATAGGTCTCAGCTCCTGTCCTCAAGGGGTACTCAATATGTATTTCACGAGTAACTGAGCATTTAAACGCATAGAGGACTTGGGGGTGAGCGCGCAAGTCGCAGGACTACAGGGAAGAGCATATTAAATATCACAGATTTCTAACAGGAGCATGTGGGGTATATCTCAGGGAGTAGGGATATGCCTGGAACTGAAAGCTGGAATTCTGTCCTGCAGGGTCTTGACTGCAGGACCAAATAGTTTGGATTTGAGTCTGCGCATTGGAGACACTGATTAGGTGCTCGTGTGTCGGGTGGCTCAGAAGCTTTCTAGGAGGCTTCTGTAGCATTCCTGAGGATGGAAGGAAAGATAGGCGACATTTGCGGGAGGAAAAATCCAACATGAGTAAGTTGGACAGGAGCAGGGATAGTTGAATGGAGAAGCCAAAAATGACCGAGGCTCCAGGTAGGGAAGACAAGGAAAATGGCATTGGAGGAAGAGGAAGAATAGGGAAATCAGAGGGAGAAGCAGTTTGCGAGGAAGGAACTGGGGCTTAGAGTGTCCTCTGACTCTGCTCTAGGTCTTATCAGCTGTAGCTGAGTGCTTCCAAAAGGAAGGGGTCAGTAGAGTGGAAGCAAAGAGGCCAGAGAGAGGGGCTGTCAACAACATGCATGGCCTCCCACGGGCTCTGTGTCCTTGGCTGCTGCTGCTGCCACTACTCAAATGATGGAAACTCTGGCAAATCCTAGGGCTGCCAGGGTCTGGAACCACCATTTCTTCTTGCCTGTCTTAGGGAAAGTGCAGAAAGCATGGGCAATCTCCAAGCCCCAGCAAAGGCCTCCTTGCCCTCAAGGGCAGTCAGTCCTCCACTGTCCTGTAGTGCTGCTTCTGCTGGCTCATTGAGAGCCTAGCTGGAATCTCCCATCCCTGCCAGGACCAGGGTTGGCAGGGGAGGATTTGACCCAGGGCCTGGGAGCGTCGGCTGCAGCCCAGCTCTACAGAGCCTCTGTGCCTGCCCTTCCGATACCTCCACCTTCTGGGCTTAGCTCTGTGCATTAAGACAATCCAGGGAGGTAAGATGATCCCACGGGTCTCTAGGGGGCTTAAGAAACAGATGGTCTCCACATATGAGGTTTGCTGTTGGTAACTTGATCAGGAGCTGGGGAGGGAGCTGGCAGGACCAAGGCAGCTTGGGCCCAGGAACTGGGAACCTTGTGAATGTTATCAGACACCAAATTCGGCCCTCACCCAAGTCACTGTCTTAGCACCTTCCAGCTGGCAGCTGGGACTCGGGCCTTCCACACCCACAAAGGGGCTGGGAGAACTGGCCCCCAGCATCCCACTCTGGCTTGGCCAGGGCAGCAGAGCCAACTGGGCTGAGAAGGCAGGAAGAGTGTTGAAGCCAAGTCTGAGAACAGCTGAGAGAGGACAGGTGTTTGGGAGGGAGAAGCAGGCTGGGAAGTGCTGGGTTTTCAGCAAACAGGAGTTTCCTGGCCTCCTTGTCTCTCTCCTGACCAGTCAGATGTGAACAGCAATTACGGGAAACCCCAGGCCTACCCTTTCTGTTGGGGAATCTGAGCTCTTCCTTATCTCCTAATGCCCTTTTCAGCCCGTCCTCACTGTCCCGTAGGGGACAGAGTAGCCTTAAAGTCCAGCTGTGGGTGCAGGTAGCACACACCTGTGGTCCCAGCTACTCAGGAGGCTGAGGCCAGAGGACTGCTTGAGGCCAGGAGCTAGAGGCTGCTGTCCGCTATGACTGTGTCTGAGAATAGCCACCGTGCTCCAGCCCAACAAGCATAGCAAGACCTTGTCTCTAAAAAAAAAAAGAAAAAACAAGAAAGAAAGAAAAAAAAATGCCTAGTTCCACTGCCCAGCCATCTCTAGTCTCGAGGTAGTACAGGTTTGGGCATTCCTTATCTGAAATGCTTGGGGCCAGAAGTGTTTTGGATTTTGGATTTTGGATTATTTGCATATAAGACATCTTAGGGATGTATAACAAGATATCTTAGAGATGGGACCCAAGTCTAAACATGAAATTTATGTTTCATATACATCTTATACACAAAACACAGGGTAATTTTATACAATGTCTTTAATAATTTTGTGCATGAAAGAATTTTGACTGTGTTTTGGCTACCACTTGTCACACGAGATCAGGGCAGAATTTTCCACTTTTGGTCATGTTGTGGCTCAAAAAGCTTTGGATTTTGGAGCATTTTGGCTTTCAAATTTTTGGAGTGGGGATGCTCAACCTGTGTTTGGTAGCTAGGACTGTAGCATCTGGAGTGAGACAATATCGTGTTTGAGTTCCACGTAACTTACTCATTGGTTAAAATGAGAACATAGCAACCTCACAGGGTCTATATAAAGATTAAATGAGATGAAGCACAGAGAATCCTTAGCACAATTCCTGTTACATGGCAGCCTCACAAATTGTTTTTTCCACCATCATCACTATCATCATTTCAGGGAGGCCCAGGGAGGAAAAGGGCTCAGACTCAAAAAAGGATGAGGATGATCACTACAACCTTGTGCACTTCTAGCTGATCTCAGCCCCACCTCTTACCATCTTACCTTGAGCAAGTTACCTGTAAAATGGGAACAATAATAACAATAATAGTCACTACCTCATAGGGTAGTTGGGGAGATGAAATATGTATATATAATATGGGGTGGGGAGGGCCTTCTTAGGACAGTGCCTGCCTTAGCTAGTTAGCTACCATTATTATTTCCTTAATCCAGTACTGATCTGCACTGCTCTAGGCTATAGAGAGGGGAGGGCAGGTTGGATGACCCTGGAAGTGTGTCAGAGTTTGAGTGGGGGCCTGGGTTCAGGGCTGTGAGAGGCACTGCTGCCCGCCGTGGCTCATAGGCCCCATGCTTTCTCTCTCCCCTGCAGATGTCCATGAAGGAGGTGGGTGATGGCTTACAGGATCAGATGAACTGCATGATGGGTGCACTGCAAGAACTGAAGCTCCTCCAGGTGCAGACAGCACTGGAACAGCTGGAGATCTCTGGAGGGGCTCCTGCACCAGGCAGCCCTGAAGGTCCCAGGACCCAGCTCGAGCGCCCTTATTGGGAGGGTGGCAGAGGTCCGGCCAGGCCCACAGTCCGCTCCCCCGCCAGTCAACCTTCTGTTGGCAGCAGCACCAAGTTTCCATCCCATAGGAGTGTCTGTGGGAGGGATTTATCCCCCCTCCCCAGGACACAGCCGCATCAAAGCTATGTTCAGCAGGGGTCAGAGCAGGTGGAACCAGATGACTGGACCTCCACGTTGATGTCCCGGGGCCGGAATCGGCAGCCTCTGGTGTTAGGGGACAACGTTTTTGCAGACCTGGTGGGCAACTGGCTAGACTTGCCGGAAGTGGAGAAGAGTGGGGAGAAGGGTGGGAATGGGCGGGCACATGAACCCAAAGGAGAGAAAGGCCAGCCCCAGGAGCTGGGCCGCAGGTTTGCCCTGACAGCAAACATCTTTAAGAAGTTCTTGCGTAGTGTGCGGCCTGACCGTGACCGGCTGCTGAAGGAGAAACCAGGCTGGGTGACACCCGTGGTCCCTGAGCCCCGAACCGGCCGCTCCCAGAAGGTCAAGAAGCGGAGCCATTCCAAGGGCTCTGGACATTTCCCCTTCCCAGGCACTGGGGAGCACAGGCGCGGGGAGAATCTCCCCACAGGCTGCCCCAAGACCCTGGAGCCCTCCCCCTCAGGCTTTGATATTAACACAGCTGTTTGGGTCTGAATCCTAGAGACAGAAAGTTGACTGAACCTGAAAGGGCCAGGTCCCAGTGCTGAGCCCCTGGGGAGGAGGGAGGGAGGGCGGTATGGCTCTCAAAAGCCCAACTCCAAGTTCCTTTCCCCAAGATGGGAGGGAGAAGCCAGAGTTCTTGGCTCAGGGCTGATGGGAATGTGGGTGGGAGAGAGGCTGTCGCAGGGGCTGGCTGGCGAAGGAGGTAAGAGTAGCTGGAGAGCTAGCTCTCGTGTGTGTGTGTGTGTGTGTGTGTGTGTGTGTGTGTGTGTGGTGCCTGTGTGTGTGTGTGGTGTGTGTGTGTGGTGTGTGGGTGTGTGTGGTGTGTGTGTGTGTGTGGTGTGTGTGTGTGTGGTGTGTGTGTGGGGGTGTGTGTGTGTGGTGTGTGTGTGGGGTGTGTGTGTGTGTGTGCGTGGTGTGTGTGTGTGTGTGTGTGTGTGGTGTGTGTCCGTGTTGTGTGCACACAGTCACTTTGGGGCTCGAGGTGACAGTAGGTGAGAGCAGGGGAGGAGACCAGGAAATCTCTCTGACATCTCCTCCACTGGCCCCAAAGACCTCCATTGAAGATTCTGTATGGAAAAGAGTCCTAGAGCATCAGGTTCCCCAGAGAGGCCCCCGAATAAAGACCTGTCTGTGGCTCCCCCAGCCTTCAGCTTCTTTGGCAAGACATTGCTCCAGGCACAGGGACTGAACCCCAGGCCTCCTGGGACTAGAGCAGCAGTGAGGAAAGCCCACCCGCCAGTCCTTCCTGCCTTGGAGGCTTCAGTCCATGCCTGGACCCCGGGAAAATGAGCTGAATAAGGATTACACTGTGTAAGGAACAGCTGGGAAGCCCCAGACACTCCTGGCATCTACCCCACTCACAGGGGAAGAAGAATGTTCACATAGCATTGGGCCCTTTGAATGCCTTTTCATCTCCATGGTCTCATTTAAAAGTGAGCTAGGTAGGCATGATCCCATTTTCCAGATAAGGAAACAAGCCTAGATATGCTACCTGTCCAGGAACAACTAAGGCAGGAGGCAGAACAGCCCAGGCCTGACTGCAGAGTAGAAGCTAGACCCTTGAGTTACCAACACCTCCCCCTAACAGTTCTTAGAGACCCCCACCCACAACCAGTCTCCTGCACTTAACTCCCGCCCGGGTCAGAACAGGCAATTCACCAGTGAGGCGAAGGTGAACCCAGAAGAAATACCCGCTTGATTTTAAAATTCCTAGCTCCATTCCGTGGCCTCCTCCCCGCTAGGCGCAGCAGCCCCAGGCCTCCTGCTCCCTCCTCACCTAGAGGCGACTGGAATGGAGGGGAGGGCCAGGCAGCAGCTCAGCTCCGGCTTTTCTAAAGCCGCTGTGGGCACGTGGCCCAGGAGGGCAGCCTAGTGATCCAGACCCCGCCTAGGACCGCCCTGGGAAGCCACTGTCCCTCCCACTGCAGCAGGGAACACCCACTAGCTGGGAAAAGACAATGTGGATACCCTTTTGGGCCAGGCGAGCCAGGAGGACACACCCTCCCACTGCCCGTCTCTGCCTTCCACCAATTGTCCCTCAGCTTGATGAGGCGTGACAGCTGCAATTAGAGGCAGAATGCCTTCCCGCCCTCAAAGCATTAATAGCAAGTTGGAGAGACAAAATAGTAAGAAAAGGCTCTTCTGCCTGCTTCCTGGACCCCTGGGGGGAGTGGAGAAAGGGGCGGAGAGCTCAACTTGGGGTTATGGAAGCACAGCCACCGTGGTTAAGGTCACCTTCAAATCCTATGCAGTGGATTGAAGGTGATGTTTAGTTTTTGGTGGGGGAAGCTACAGGAGGGAGAAAGGTGCTCATGCTTTTTGGGTTTTGTTGAGCATTCGCTATTTGTCAGGTAGTGTGCATATCTCTGAAACTTAGAATGACTCTAGAAGGCATTGTTCTCCAGACACATCTATGGAGGTTATTAGGGGTCATGTAAACTGCCCAGATTAGGCTGCTAGCAAAGGAAAGGACAGAGATTCGAATAGAAGGTTGGGTTATCAGGCTCCAAAACCTGTCCTTTCCTTGCTACCTCTCTACCTGGAGTTTGCCAACTAAGCAAGCCCAGTCTGCTGGAACCAGCCCTTGCAAATCTTTTGTGTCTTGCCAGAGAATTCTAACATTTCAGTCTTGAGTGAGGGAACGTTGGCTATGGCTGCCTTTGGAGGTGGTGGTGGCGGCGGGGTGTGTGTTTGTGTGTGTGAACGCACAGAAAGTGCATGTGAAGATTCCACCTACTGAATCATGAGAGGAGGAAGTCGTGGGCTGCTGGCTGGTGGAGAAGCCATCCAGCAAATTATTCAAGATGACGCCAGCTCCAAGTCTGGAATGAGTCTATGGGAAACCAGGGTACTTCTTGGACATTCATCTACAACTCACCTGTTCCGTGGACTGCTCTCAGTGGTTCAGATAAATGGAACAAAACTTTATGAACACCTCCCAACTTCAGGCATTGTGATAGAAACTAAGAGCAATGAAAAGGACCCAACTCCTGCTCAAAGGGATCCAGTGGAAAATAAGCAGACTTTGAACCATTGGTTAGCCAGAAGAGAAGCGGGGGACTGAAAATTATTTCAACTTGGGCCAGAACAAAAAATTAGGAAGCAACACTTGCTGCCAACATGATTGACAGGTGTCAGCACCTTCACCTTTGTGTTATTTCCTTCCCCTACACACTGAAAGCGGTTGCTATTACTCTTGTTTACCTGGACAGGTTCAAAGAAGTTAAGCAACTTGTCCAAGGTCCCATAGTGGTAGAACTGGGACTGAATCGGTTCCAACTAACTTTCAATCTTGTGCTTTTCAGACAATCCCACAAATTGTCCATATCTGTTCCAAAGCCAAATCAAAAGGAACAACATCTGTCCTCCCATATTAGCCATGGTCCTGCGTGGATCATAAACGGCATGTTGACTGTCCAATGGAGACTTAATTTTCCCTTCCCTTTGGGCACCTGCCACAGCAGTGACAGGCTGTATTTTTCTGAAGTGGAGGGAAGAGGTGAATGGGAATGCCTAGGCCCTAACCATACAGGAAGGTGCAGGGAGAGGGAAGCAGTATGTCTGTGAGGAGATAGTGGAAATAAGCAGAGAAATCAGACAGCTTCATTCTTCTGGGGCTCACTTTATGGTTAATTAGCACATGCAAATGAGCTAGAAGCTCATTTAATACCCTCCCTGACATGTAGCCCCATCCCGCATCTGGCCCGCTTCCCTGGCAGGTACAAAGGCCACCTGATTGGTCCAGGTATCTGTGGAGGGTTCCACCTGCTGCTTTGTGGCCTAGGGAAAAGAACAGAGCCTGCTGGGCATGGCCAGTAGGGCCTGCCTGGTCTCTTTCCTTTCTCTTCTCAGCCTTTCAGACCTGGGACCTCTCTTTTCCATCTCTCTAAGACACTTCCCCTGCACCCCATCCCTCAGGGTGATCTCTGAATCCAAATTTGCCCCAAGGAAGTTTCCTCTGTCCTCTCCACATCCCTAGCTCCTCCCCAGAGTCTTGCAGGGGAGAGGTTCCTCCATGTTTTCCAAGTCACACCATGGTTTCCTATGTGGCCTGGACAAGAGCCTGTCCCTACCTTCTCCAGAGCTGCCAGAAGCCACCTCAGATGCCTTCCCCATCCAGTGCAGTTCAGGCACTTCCGCCAGCAGCACGGTGTGAGCACTAGACTTTGAGTGAAGATTTGAGAGGCCTCTCTGTCACTGTGGAAGCTTGAGCATGTTGCCTGACCTCTCTGAACCTCATGTTTCTCATCTGTGAAAGCTGATAGTGTGGGGCTGCTGTGAGCTTTAAAGGACATAATGCACCTAAGGGCCGAGCACTGCCTGGAACACAGTGGAAGCTCAGCAGATACTGGACTACCCATCCCCTTAGTAGAAGCACTAACCATGTGACCCAAGGCAAAAGTGCTTTAAAAAAGTGCTTTCTCTGAGCATTGGTCTCTTCTTCTGTCAAAACATTTATATTGATTTAATATTTCGCAGGATTGCAGCAAGAATCAGAGAAGACAATAGGTGACATGTTTTTGTACACTGTAAAAATACTACCCACCAGATGGGCTGTTATTTGCTAAATGGTAGATTTACACTGTTCCCCAAGGGATGGCATGCACTGGGGAGGTGGGGAAGGAGGTGGGGAGGTGGGGGAGGAGGTGTGGAGGTGAAGGGCCGAGCTGGAGAAAAGGTCCTTGAGGAGGACCCCACTGCCTAAGGACCTGCTCTAGGAAACATTCCCACCCCCTACACCCTAGCTGCCCCTCACAGTCAACCCTTAAGGACCTCAAATTCTTGGCAAGGGGTAAAGAGTTGAAGGTGCCAAGTCCTAGTGGTTTTAACAAATAGGCCTCTGGTCTGCTCTTTCTGCTCTATAAAACCTTAGTTGCTAGAGTCCCCTGTAGCTCCCAAATCACTCCCTTCCTCCTGTCCTCCAGCCACCCTGGAAATGAATGGCCTAAAGGTGCTGTGGCTGCCCTCCTAAAATCCATTCCCTCCTGATGGGATGGAGGCATCTGTGAAGCCTGCCTTCATGAGAGGTCTCAGGGCTCAGGATGGTGCTGCCAGAGAAAGGATGACTGAGCCAGAAAGGCCCAGGGGTAAGCTCAAACTGCAGTCATCCCCTTAGTACGATTATTAGGATGGCCCTTGCCTGCCTTCTGCCTCCTCTACTCAACTCCTAAACAAACAGTGATGAAACCTCTCTTTCAGATCCCCTCTGAATTTGACAGAGGACTTACTTCCTGGCTTTCTACTCTTCAGTGAGTCCTGACATATCACTGTCCGTCCCCCGCAAGCTCCAGATCCACCCCCCACCCCCGCCCAGTTCTGGAGCACACATGCACATGCACAGCATCACAATTAAGTCAGCCTTGCCAATGTCCCTGAAACCAAGTCCTTGCATGGTTACACTCTTATCCCCCACTGAAGTCCTTCTCGTCCCCGCCACCATGCACACACTTTCCCGGTCCCCTGAACGTGCCTCTGTGTTCCTGGTCAGAGAGG